CTGCTGTGGCAAGATCCTCTCATACATCTTCTGCCTTGGCTCCTGCCTTCTCACCAACTACCTACATTCCCTGCCTTTCTGCTCTGTCCATATTGTTGCCATCACCCATCTTCTGTCTCCTGCCTCTGGTTTTGCTGCCCTCTTTTAGGTTACATATTTTTACCCCGCCTTCCCCTCAAGCCCCTCGATAATATCTACATCCTAACAATCCCCTCCTACCCACACATAAACCTTCAGCTGTCTGTTCCTTTCACCTCTCCTTTCTGCTCTGCACTTTGGTAAATTCCAAGGCAGTAGCCACATCCACTGTGGCTGGCCAGGGCCATGGTCCTTTCGCCCTCTGCTCTCAGAAGCTGAGAGTAGGAACTGGAGTGCAAACCCAGCTGTACTGTGCTGGAGCATGAATGACGTGCCAGGAACACATAAAGTAGCTTTCAAATAAAAATTCTTGGCTAAAAGAGAGGTATACCATTTGGCAAATATTTTAAAAGCTGCAAAGATGCATGCATTGGAGAAAAAAAAAAAAAAAGTCCATGTTCTTGAAAAATTACTGACTTTTTAAATTCCCATTGAAATTCAGTATGAAATAGACCACTGGCATGTAAACTTTTGGCCAAATTTACAACTGTAAAAAGGGTTTTACAATGGAAAGTGCCAGTTAATCCACATTCATAAACACTCATAGAATAGAACATAAAAATTAAAACATGATGCAATAAATCCCCAAATGAAATGTACAAGTAATTTATGCTACAAATGCTGACACTACTGTCTTGATATTGGCAGCTAAGAACTCTGTTAAAGCTGTATTTTTAAAAATAATTTACCCCTGATCATCCTATGTCATTGCTGCTTCTTTATTTAATACTTATTTATGCCATTCTTGCACTGCCACATACCAGAGCTGATTATTCTTTTTATTACACAAAACACTGTAACTGAATTAGTATTATAGAGATATGGTAATAGATCACTAACATAAAAAAAATGAGGCCAAGTGTAGTTACAGAATTTCAGATTTTCCCCCAAAAAAGCCCACCAAAACAAAACAAAAAACACCTACACACAGAGTACTTTCTCTACTGCTAACACCAGTAAAAATAATTAGTAAAATAAGACAAACTTAAGACATTATGGAGAGGATAAAACAACTTTTCTAAGGAGTATATAACTGATTCACAGACTTAAATTGCTTTTTAACACTTTCTAAAGAATTATTTCAATTTTAAAACATTAATATATTGAAAGTATTAATCCCTTGTGAAAATATACATATACTGTACTATCATTTTTGTACACTACTTATATATTTCTAAAACATAAAAAATATATTTCAACTTGCAACATAGTATTAAAAATGCATTTACAGTTATAACTCGTTGTTTACTTAAGACCAATGGAATGAAACAAGCATATATTTATAAAACCTTTCCTCCTGAGGAAATTATTCAAAAGTTGTGTCCTGTGAGCAATGAAGTAGCTTTCCTGTTTCTTAACCATCTGATTACTTTCCTCTTGGACACAGAGGGCTACATTACAAGACACAAAAGTCTTTTGCAGTCTTTGATCAAATTTCAAAATGGGGAATAAGACTCCAATAAACTGCTGAAAGCAAAGCAAAATCCACACCACCAAAACCACATTTTCTCTAAAATACTTGATCTTCAGCAGCACTGCCCCTACCAAAAGCTAATGCTGGGACACTCCCAATTTAGAATGAAATCCCGCAAACCTGAGAAGTGCTGGAAATGACAGCCTTGTCTCTTGCAAAGTGAAAGCAAGCACAAAATACAAGAAAGTCTGTTATCATGTATGACCAATCATGCTGATTTCCAGAGCCTTGAATACCGGAGATAAAATACCCCAAGATGTTTCCTTAGATGAATCCAGACTGTATTCAGAGACTACTGATGTTCAGCAAAGAACGTGCTCCTGGTGTTCTGCTCAAATCCAGACGCGCCAGATTTGCAGCAGTTGCTTAAGACAAGAAGCACACAGTCTAATGATAAGTCAGGCAGTCCATGTTAGGCACTTAACTGAGCCTAACATATAGCTGCTCATCAATGAAGCAGTTCTATCCCATAACCAGGAAATGTAAGCAACTCTTCTCAGAGACTGCATCTAAAATTAAGGTGCACACTGGCTTCCTCTACAGTCAGAATAGATCCCTCTAATTAACAAACGCAACAGCCATTTATGTATTTACCTTTGTAAATTTTTAGGGTAAAATATAGCCTGCAATAAACAGATGATAAAGCTTATCAAAGACCTGGAACACCCTCTGTTAGACTTTCCACGGATGGAAATGGATCAGTATCTCAGCAAAATGATCAATTCTTTACAATGGTAAAAATCAATAGAAACCATATATTAACCTACAGAAAGAGAAAACAAATTAAAAGAAACTCCGTGTATCAACTTGATTGCTTTGGTATGTCCTTCATAGCCTGAGCTTTCCTGAGTTAGCAGATCTCTCTACATGCTATTCACACGGTAAATGTCTTCAGTGTACTTCTACC